TCTTAAGATATATACTGATTATCAGAAGAAACATGCTACAAATTCACACTGTAATGAAAATGTTAAGACTTTCCCTTGTGGCAGGCGCACTGGCTTTTTATTGAGCAGATACAGCTGAGCATTTATCAGCAGGGGATCTAGTCTGTGACTTTCACAGAAGTATCATGTCTAGCTACCATGGAAGCAGTACAAGCAGTGATTTTTTTACACCAGATTGCAAGACTGGTCTTGTGGGAGTTTATCCCATTACCGTCACAGCGCCTGGACAAGCATGTCTGTTCATTGGTTTCTGACCCCTAGATGCCACATGTCATCTCGGCTCTTTCCACAAACGTTCGGTGGAGCTGAAGTCTGGCAAGAAAGGTACTCACATCATACCTTCCCCAGTCTCATCTCACAAGAATGGTGTTACATGTGCAGCATGTGAATACTGTATGTGCTGCCATGAGGGAAAGCACTTGATCACTGTAGCACTGTGCACTCAGGCTACCCTCAGTCACTGTGGGATCAGTCATTCTGTAGCAACCAGACACTGTTGCCCCGTATGGAATGAACCTCTATTTGTTTGTTTAGATCTTACACAAGGTGATGCAGCATTCTCATTAAACCATTGGGTGACCTATCGTTGTCAACTGGCGAGACACTCCTCCTGGAAGGAAAGAAGTGCTGCCATGTCGGTGAAGGTGATCACTCAGTAGCAATTAGCAATGACTGCATCTTAAATAAATAGCAAAATAGCAATACGTGCACCGAAACCTTCCATTTTGTAATGGTTGTCAGCAGAGCAGGGAAGCCAGAGCCTAGTCCAGCAAGCAACGGGCACAAGGCGGGATACACCCTGGACAGGACGCCAGTCCATCGCAGGGCACACACAGACTGCACCCAAACCATGTCAGGAAAATGTGCAACACATTTAGATTGACGTCCCATATGCACTCCTCTGTTTATCGAGAACATAGTGAAGGATGACTCATATGATTATATCACTTTTCTTCACTGCTAATAGTCCATTGCCTGTGCTCTTTGCTCAGCTGGACTCACAAACGCACACTGCGAGGTGTGATGATGCACCTGGCTATTGTATGCCACTCGGTAGAGGTCTCATGATCTGTTTGTGATTAAGACTGGCTGCCGGCACCCCAGGTTGAGATTTACAGTTGCTTACCTGCTTTGCCTTGCACTTTAAATTACTGTATATTGATCACAATCCCAGAGAATGTGCTTCCACGCACTGTTGCCCTTTGCTGATAGTTTTTTCCTCCAATCTCATGCTGACATCACCCGAGACGCTGTTGCCCGTGAATCATCAGAAGGCGGTGATGCCTTGATCACTGAAGCTCCTGCTAAACGTGTGTGGACACCTTTGCTTTCAGTGTACTTGTTGTCCCTCACTTATCCAGGTGTCTCCATTTTTTGTCCACTACTTGTAGGTTTGATTCATCGGTAAAGAGTCACGGAAGCATTGCTGTCTTGATAGGAGGAGCATATCCTCACCATGTTTTTTTGGTCGTGATTTTTACCAGGCTTGACATTCAAGAGGTTAAATCACCTCATCACCTTACCCAATCCACTCTCTTATTACTAAGGTGATTTGGTGCTTTTTGAACAGTAAAAAGCACTCAAGCGTACCACGGTCAGTCAGCCATGAATGACTGATTAATCAAAATGATCCGTGTACTTTATTTTTTCCTGAAAACATTCATGCATGCTTAGAGGATTAAGCTTTTCTGATGCTCAGTATATTTTAGTGCTAAGAGAAAAATCATGCATTGGAACAGATATCTTTATTCATATATTCAAACACAACAACAAAATGTATTGATACAACAAGAAACATTCGATTCAAACTTAATTTATCTTATTTTAGTATGAACTTTATAGAAGAACCATACTGTGTACTATACTTTTATTTTTTTAAGGCAGTGACGGTATTACTGATGATTTTGCCATGGCCTTGACAGGGAAAGATATTATTCTGATAAAACCATTTCATCAGTTGTGAAATTGGTACTGTTGATCTAATCTAGCATCTACTAATGGATGTAATACATCATTCTAAAACCATGAACATGTTTTCTGTGACATGGTGCTCTGTGTCTGTGAGCACATAGAGAATCTGTTGATTGGTTTTAGTTGGTTTGTCTTGCTAGAGATGCTCTCAGGCATTGGGATATGAGCTAGAGACCAGTGGCTCCAGCAGTGTGTTTCCTAGCAGCCTTGGTACCAGACGGCATTGTTTAATCAGCTGCTTTCGTGTGCTCCGGATGGCAGGATCTGGAGAGAAACCTGGAGCTGAGTAGCAGCAGCTTTCACAGGCAGCTTGTGGCTGAGAGGAAGAAAGCTCACGAAGCCCAGGAGGAAGTCAGAAACCTCCAGGGAGAGCTTGAGCGACTGGGACAGAAACTTAAGGTACCGTGCAGAGACACCCCTTTATTTACTGGCTAGACCTCAGAAATGCTGTAAGTTCATAAGCGGCTTCCATACACACTGTTGTGCTTTCTTCTTAGCTTAATATCAGTGTGTCAACCAAATCTTTAGTATGGTTACTTAGTGGATGGAACATGGAAGCCATTATATGTCGCCATACCAAACGGCAGTCTCCCAACTGCAAGAAGTAAGGAGAACCATTAAAAGAATATATGTCAAGTTTGATTTTCAGGTGCCTGCAAAACCTACCACAATACATGCCAGGATAAAAGATGAATTTTTTTTAAAAATCACTGCTGTCATTTTACTGCTGCAGCTGTTGGGAATATTCTGAGGGGTGTTAAAGGAACATGTTGTACTGCTTTTGTCCCATAGGAAAAAGAGAGGGAACTTGAAACAAAGAACATCTATGCCAACCGTATACTAAAGCCATCACCAAAGAAAGATGGAGACAGTGCCTCAAGGAAAAAAGGTATGACTGTTTCATAGTTCCCCACCTCATTTAACAGCTGAATCACTGGCTATCTAAGAATGTAATGCACAATGCACAACAGCTTAGTGGTGCAAATCACACATGCAGATCACATAAATAAGAGCTTCAAAACCCCAGTTAAATTGTGCCATGAATGAAAGACTGAATTCCTTTTTGTGAAGAAAAGAGTTGTTTTGAGGCTTGACTAGGTATTAAATTTAAGGAAAACAAATGTTTGTTTTTACCATTTTCATATTTGACTAGTTCTAGCTGTTGCTTCACTATAGTATCTCGCGATATCCACAGGGAAATGTGGTGTAGCTGTTGGTTGTAAATTATGCCTTGTGCCACTAAATGTAAAAAAATAGATATTTTCCAAAGATTCATAAATACTACACTGTACAACAATCTCTCCATCTCTGAAGTATTAATTGTGATTGGTTGGTATTCTTTATAAAAATATTGGTATATTACAAAATTATGCAAGTAGAAACAAGTTTATATTTGCTTAATTTCCTGTTTGTCTACCTTTATAGTTTTTTAGTAGCTTGGCATACTTAAAATATGATTGTCATCATAAAGACATTCTCACTTGACAAAATCTTGTTTACATTGGCCTCGTTTGTCTTAATTATCCCATCATACGGTACTTTGTAGAGAGAATAGATTTGATTGGTAGTGTTGCTAAAGTACAACAAAATAAATTGTGCAGGTGCTTAAAAGTGGAATTCAAACAACTTTAAATGGACATTTCTTTGATATGTAGTTTTTCATTTGTTTTCGAGCACTTTGAAAGATTGTCTGTTTTGTATGACCCCCACTGTGTTTCTCCTCATTGTTAATGCAAATCAGGAAGATAGGAATGTTCAATTTGTCCAGGGGGCAAAAGGCAGCTTTGTGAAGCTGGCTCCCCTACCAACAGTGCAGTGACTCAAAGCGCGTTCGGTTTGTGTCGGTTTGCTACTTTTGTTTCTTTGATATAAGGGATTATTTTTTGGGGGAGAGTGACGTCACTCAGCCCCTCATTCAATTGCTCTGGAGAACCAAACTGGTCTAATTTATTTGGACCAAGTTTGTTACCCTAGGTTGGGCTATTTTGTGGGAAGTGCTTCCCCCAAAATAAGATACTTTTCTTCCACTTCAGTTTAACAGCTACGTTGCATGGCAGGGAATGACATCACTCTTTTACAACAAATCTTATGTAAGATCGTGTGTCAGAAACCCAAGAGGCACAGATTCTGGTTTCAACAGCCCAAACAAAATGATTTACGAATCTCCAAAGTCTATATTCCCCTCTCCCCTACAGAAGAACAGTGAAGAATTTCCCCACATGAAGATCTGCCAATTCCCAGATCAGAGAAATGTTGCTCTTTGGCGATCTCAAGACACAAGCAGCCACACTGGCAGACTTAACCTGCGCACAGGGGAACCCTCATATATTTGGAGATTCCTCTCTGTTACACATACAAGTGTGACAAGTTTCAACGTGTCATGCAGCCACAACGCCCAGGCTGAACCAGAACAGGTGTGTTCTACTACTGGTGTGTCAAGGGCTACACTGTATATCACCAATGGCAGGATCAGAGGGGACTCTGGGGAACGTAGCTCTAGGCAATAGCATGGTGGACTGTGCTTTCATTAACCTGGACAACTCCTCTTTTAATACATTCGCTGTCAGGTTCCAAACTACAGCTAAAACACTAGACTGTATCTAATCAAAAGAGCAAAACAGACCAATGGCACACTGACATAGACCAGGAAGCTGTATGATCTTTACAGCTGATACACGTGGGATACAGACCGTCTAGTTGGATACCAGGAGCACAAAACAATCAAGACATTCAGACATTTTTTAACACACTCCTAAACACACTGTAGCAAACAAATAATATAAAATAAATTCATTATTATTATAATGTAGTCATACATTATATTGCACTTAAATTGCACTGCAATTTCCCTCACGGGATCAATAAAGTATCTATCTATCTATACATCTGCCTATATGTAATTGAATTCAAGGAGAAATTAGTCTTGTTTCTGCTGTTTGTGGAGAGAAAACTGCATGGGTAGAGTTACATCACTCCCCCCCAAAAATGCATTATTGTATGTCTCAAAAACCAAAACGGCACAAAACAGTGCTTTTAGAGGCGCAAACTAGCACAAACAGAGCACAGAGGAGTGCGACTGTTTTGGTTCTTTTGCGTGGTTGTAGGGAGACTCAATTACATCACTCCCCACCAAGAAAAAAAATCCCTTACATCTCAAAATTAAAAGTAGCACAAACGCTACTTTTAACGGCACAAATTATTGCAGTCTAAGTCAATGTTTTGTTCATAAGGGGTGTAATTTCACAAAAGTGCAAACAAAAGACTTGCTGGGTAATTAACATGTTTCAGAGTACTATTTTGAGGTTGTTAGAATGACAAGGGATTTAATAATAATTCATTACACTTACTGTATATAGCACTTTTCTGGACACTCCACTCAAAGTGCTTTACGGGTAATGGAGACTCCCCTCCACCACCACCACCTGAAGCCCACCAGGATGATGCAGTGGCAGCTGAAGTGTACTAGTACACACACCAGCCATTAGTGGGGTGGAGAGCTGAGCAATGAAGCCAATTGATAGATGGGGATTATTAGGAGGGCATTGGTAAAGGCCAGGACACTGGGCTTTACCCCCTACTCTTTTCGAGACATTCCCTGGGATTTTTAACGACCACAGAGAGTCAGGACCTTGGTTTTACTTCTCATCTGAGAGATGGCTCCTTTTTACAGTGTAGTGTCCCCATCACTATACTGGGGCATTAGGACCCACACAGAGCACAGGGTGAGCCTCCCCTCTTGGTCCACTAACACCACTTCTTGCAGCAACCATCGAGGTACTGACCAGGCTCACACCTGCTGAGCTTCACTGGGTTGCCAGTTGTGAGTTGCAGAGTGATGGCTGCTGGCTATTTAACAGACGTTTACGTGCTTTTAAAAGTAATTCTTCTTCCACGGCAATTTAAACAATTGTTTACCTGATATTTTTTAAACGTCTAGCTCCTAACAGGAACGCAACAAAGAGTGTGCAGACTGATGAAAACCTGTTGCCCATCGAGTTTCCTACACCACCCCCTGCTATCACTGATGGTTCACGGAATTCAAAAGAAGATGATTATCTTTCATCAAAGGCAAGTGACAATGTCAGGCAGTTCAGTAAGATTAGATTCAGAGCTATGGGTTTTGTTTTCTTTTGTTTGTCATGTATCAGTGCTTTTTTTATAACAGTATCAACTGAAACAATTGTCAGCAGTATAAACCACATATGCATCTTTTTTCTTACAATATGTAATTGTTTTTAACATAAAGTTTGACTATGCAATAAAATGTGGGAGAATTCAACGGCCATCCATCAATTTTCGTTATCCAATTCAGGGTTGCTGGGAAGCCACAGCCTATCCTGGCCAAGCAGTAGGCTCAAGGCAGGATACACCAGTCAATTACAGGCCAGACACATAGACACCACTCACACATTCACAGCAGGACTAATTTTCCTAGAAGCCAATTAACTTACACTACCAGTATAGTACCAGTATATCTGTGGACTGTGGGAAGAAACAGGAGTGCTTGGTGAAAACCCACATGAACACGGGGAGAAACTCCACGCAGATGGCACCCCAGGTCTCGAATTGACCCCAGCGACCTAGCACTGTGTGGCAGCAATGCTGACTATTGCCCCACCTTTCCACCCCTGTCTCGTCATTTTCCAATTCCTGATTGATTGCATTTTTCATGGTGTACCTGTTGCTTTATTTGCTGTACCGACCCTTTCAGCAGTTTTGACTACAGAGTAGCCAGGACACTGTGCAGCCAGATTTTAAGTTCTTGATTATTAGACTTCTGGCTAATAATGGCAAGGCAAGGGAGAGGAGTGAATTCTCTTGCATTTTCTCTCTTTTTGTTAAAAAGTCCAACATAAAAATGTTCATGATGTTTTTACTACTGATGTTAAACAGGAACCATTAAATGCACCTATGTACTCAAGCATATATGACAGGATGGTAGCATTCAAACCATCTTTTCAGTACTCCCCATACATTTGACACAAAAAATCCGATCAGGTTATACTGAAATACACTGTACACATAGTCGAATGATAATCTCCGGCGTTTTTAAGGAAGTGGAGGACAAGGGGCTTGAGCAGAGGCTAGCAGAGGAGCAGCAGAGAGCGGAGAGAGACCGGGAGGAACGGGAGAAGGAGAGGGAGGAGAAGCTGAAGAAAGATCAGGAGCTCCAAGCCCTGGAGGAGAAAGCAAGGAGACTGCGAGAAGGTGAGGGCACAATTTCTATCGCTCTTATACTCAGATGATGACCCCATTTCCGAACAAGTTTGAGTTCTTGCAGACTATAAACTTTGATGGGTGCATAAATACAGTATGAACAATGATGAGAAATGCTATAATTAATTTGCACAGCAATCCCTGCTGAGATGTCATTTTGCTTTTTGACTTGATAATCTTTTTGTTTTTTGAAGTTCTCAGCTTTAACCGTTCAGCTGTACAAGCATTTTAAAAGAGGACTATAATACTAGGTGAATGTCAAGTGTGCCTTAATCCTCACTTGAAGCCTTTCTTTAGCCCTCCACATTCGGAGTAATAGAATGTTTACATATATGTTCATTATTCAATATGTTTGATGCTTCTAAAAGCAACTTAACTTGTTTGGCTGGGCATTTTACTGAAGCTAGATAACAACAGCAGCACCCCACCCATGGTTTCAACCCACAAACGTCAGTGAGACCCCTGACCACAAATCCACACTTTTTTTTAGAATGTTTAAACCCGCTTCCAAGTATTTGGAATGAAAATGAAAGTTCCTTCTTTGTAAATACCCATGTGCAAATTCAACATTTCTTGGGTTTCCGTGCCTCTCAGTATATTTGTAGGTATCTTTCAGCAATGAGAAGGTACTAGGAATAGTACTAGGAACGGGCTCGAGGTGGTTAAAATAAAACCATGGATTCCTGTTCCCTGGTGAACAGTTGCTTCTCTCTGCAATCACTGCGATTGTGTGTCTTGCTCAGAGTGGGAGAGGGAGGAGGAGGAGAGGAGGTGGCGTGGAGACCCCCTGCAGCAGGAGCAGCAGCAGGCTGAGGAGAGGGAGAGGAGACAGTGGGAACGGGACCCGCACAGTCTGGAGCGAATGGCAGAGGAGCGGCGCAAGAAGGAGCAGCTTCTGGCCAGGATGCGGGAGATTGACCAGGAAACTCAAAGCGACGATTTGTTTTCCAATTTCTCTGACTCCAAGCCAGCCAAGCACTCCGCGGAGCCACAGAGTCCAACCCCATCGATTTTCAAGTTCACCGAGCCAGTGGAGAACCTTCCCAATGGCATGCCTTCCCAGGGGACCAAAGACGCTCTCAAAAAGCCCGACTCCTCAGGACGCAGAGGAATTAAGGTTCAGGAGTCCAGTGAAGATCTGACCTTCGGTAGCTACGTGCCATCTTTTGGGAAGGCAACGAGCAGGAGTGGACTTACTAACCAAACAAGTGAAAGTGCTGAACAAAAACACAGAGACACTCTAAATCTTAATTTTGGCAAAGATAAGAAGACTAACCTTATGCAACAGTTATTTGGTTCTACTGCCAATACAGACATGTCCTCCAAGATGGAGATACTGAGTCCTCCAGCAGCCAGCAAGATGTCTCAGGGAAACAGTGTCCCCTTTCCCTGGGGGAAAAGCACCCCAGGCAAGAAAAAAGAGAGACATTTTTTGTTTGATGACATGAAAACCACCACCTCCAACAGCAACGGGCTGCAGGTTGCCGAGAACAAGCCAACTGTGAAGGCCATAAACGCATTTGAGGATGAAATTGAGGAAGTCTCTCTTTAGATAGCAGTGTTCTCTATACATAATACCACTGTTATTATTCTAGTTGAAGGCTCCCATTGTATCTTTCCTATTACTGAAAACTACATTTGCTTCATAAAGGAATAAGCTAGGGTCATTCTATGTGAACTCAGTCAGAAATTCCCACCTTAAGGTTTAGATGTTTCTTATGTCATTTGGACAGACTTTAGATCAGATATGAAATCGGTTCAATTATTTGAGCTTGTAGATAGATTGGCAGTTCTTTTATTAATGAAAGGTTGCAAAATCTGCATAATTGTGATTTATTGATTGTGATAATGAGTGATTGCAAGGACCTAAAAGTGCCATTTTTATTGTTATCCCTAGGAAATAATCAGTTCAACCAAGTTAATAGAATTAAACCAAGGTTTGTAGGAATCAGGGCTTTGTCATTAGAAAAATATAGATTTAAAAAGTGTGACTTCAAGTCCTTGTTCATTCTAAAGTAGTAAATGTATCAACGGCCAGTTGCTTATACAATTTAATTATGTTATTGACTCTCTTTATGCAGATCTCCATCTCCATTGCACGCATTCAGTCTGATTAAAAATCTTCACAAATTGTCGCTAGGAAGAAATGTAACAAACTGGAACATCTGGTACATAAGGATGAATTGCCTTATGGCGTAGGAGTTAACAAACTGATCTTGGGTCACTCTACAATGATATTGAAATTGGCATTTCATGCTACTACCAGATCCTGAGTGTGGTTGTACAACAAAATCAAACTATTGAGGTGGGAATATTCCTGGATTTCAAGATGATGTTTTTTTTTTATTTGAATAAAGGGACATGAATGTTATATATTCTATCAATAACATAATAAATGGTAAAATGTAATTTACTTCTACAGTGCTGAGAAAAAATTTTGAATCCCCTAGGTTGGTCTGTATTCTCCTGTATTTAGACTTAAAACATAATTAGATCATCCTGAAAGTCTAATAAAAAATGAAGATTAAATATAAAATGAAGATTAGACTTTACCGATTAAATGAATAACACAAATAACACAGCCTGACATTCTTCTCCAGTGTTTGCAGATACAATGCCTAATTTGTTGTTCCAGCAAGCCATTCTGGTCTTGGGGCAACAAATCAGTCCCATGTCATGATATTCCTACCACAATGCTCGATAGTTGGGATGAGGTTCATCTGTTGGAAGGCAGTTGGTTGGTTTTCGCCACACGAAAAGGTTCTTATTGTGGCAAGAAAGTCATCTGTTCAGTAGTCTGGTGGATCTTCAAGTTGCTCTTTGCAAACTTAAACCATGTAGCGATGTTATTTTTAGAGAATAGTGGTTCTTTCTATTCTTCCATTCCCATGAAAACGATTCCCACTTAGTCTTCTTGATGGTTGAGGCATGAACACTGACAGTGGTCCCAGCAGGAGAGGCTTGCAGGTCCTTAAATGTTACTCTGGGGTTCACTTTGACCTCAGGTGATTTTCTGTTTTGCTTTAGGGGAGAGCTTGGCAGGATGACCGGTCCAAGGTAGAGTCACCGTACTCCTGAATATTTTCCATTTGTTGACTGTCTAACAGTGGAACGATGGAGAAAGTTTTCGAAATGGTTTTGCAACCGTCTCTGGTGTTGAATGTCAGTTACTCTTTTTCTGAGGTTCTCTGAAATCTGTAAAAAAGAGACGCAGCGTTTCAGCTGTGGAGCCTTCTTCAGGTGTGGCAGGATGACCGAAGACGGCTCGACAGCCTCCAAGACTCCAAGGCTGTGAAGGCTCCTCAGCTGAAACATGCCTCTTTTCCTTTCAGCATGGAATAGACTATTATCTTTTTATTCAGGAAGCCAATCCACTGGGCCATTAACCTATTAAGCCAGATAGTTGAGGCAGGATTCTCTGACAGACATTAGAACTTCTAGCATCCAAGCTACTGCTGACCTTTTGCTATAAGATATTTCCTAATTCTTCTACTAGACTTTCTACTGACTAGTAAATCATTCCCCTTCACAGACGGTTCCCTATCTTCTTATTGAAGCCTTAATCTTTTAAAGCCTGCTTCGCTACATCTAGTTACATTCCTCTCTCTCCGTTCTGCCCTGGGGTCTATTGGAAGCCCTGTTCTTGGATTTTGACCTCTCACTGGCTGCAGCTCTACAGTATATCCAGTATAACATCTGTATGATGAAAATGTATTATTAAGAACAGGGCTGCCCAAACAGTCTTTGTGTACTTATTCCTTTATTACTACCTGATTCTATTTACCACCTTAAGCAGGCTAAGTAGCTGTTCGCTTATGAATTCCCATACACTGATTCTTAATTTTTATATTTTTTTCCGAATTGCCTAAATCATTGCATCTCAAAAACGCTGAATTGATAAATATAAATTATTTTGGTTATTTAAGAAAGGTCTGGTATTGATTAAAACAAGGGTATCGTGATAAGACATTGCTATTCATATAATTACACTGGGGGTTCACAAACTTTTTCTTGGCGCTATATAAATGATTTGAAAAAATATCAAGAAACTGAAATCCAGTTTGGAGTATCTTATCTATTTGTATGCACTTCAAGTGAAGTAATGCTTTAAGAAGATACGTTTGAGAAGAAGAATAAGTTGGTTGGATACAAAACAGTCTTCACTTAGCTCCAGTTTTTTTAGACTTTTCTCTGTTTTCTTTATACTGTTCACCTGAGTTTCTAAAAAAAAGGGAAGGAGAAGAGGAAGATGAGTAGTCTGGTACATGAGCCCATCATAAGTGCTTATGGCAATTTTGCTTTTTAAGGTATGACTAATATAATTAGTAAAACTAACAATCCCAACTGTAAAATAGAGCAAATGCAATTCTTAGGGTAAAACAAATAGGAGGTATTCACTGTGGCATAAAAGCCAACAACATAGAGCATCACAGATGCCCAGTATTTTCCCTCTGGTATATTTTGTGCATATTATTAAAATTAATTTTGGGCAGTGACGACAGAAAATATACTAAATTTAGAATGAAATGAGTGTATATTAAAGACACTCTTAAAAGGGAAATGACAAGCACTTGCCTAGTCCAACCGGGCCTTTATAGTTGTCTTAGCTTTCTTAAGACGTTTTCTTGGCTTTCTTAAGAAAATGCAGCAGAATTTATTACCTCCCTCATGAAATTGCATGAATTGGATCTAAGTACTTCAGAAGTCAGGTTAGCTTTATTTAGGCTGGTCAGCTTAATGATGGCTCACCCATATGTGTAAAGTCGTAAATGAACCTCTCAGGAAATAGAATAATAACCTTCAAGTTTCTAGCTAGGAGGGTGTAGTGTTTTGTTTGCTATTATGTACAGTAATTGAAATCGTGGAATAATGGATCCAAATTAGATCATTTTATGGTAAAGTAGAAATGTATCTCTTTAAATAGTTTAGTTATATTTATATAATGTATGTAAAAAAAAATGAAGAATAATGTTTTATTATAAATTAGCACTTGGCACTTATTTCTTCTGAAGCTTGTAAATTAATGGTTATTATTATACATTATCAAGGGTTTGGCTGATTAAAAACACGTTTTGAAAGAAAATCATTGATTTAATTATCTATTTTATTTTATTCTCTAACACAGTACCTATTTTAAGTAAGGTATCTCCAGAAATACACATGAAGGTGACATCTTCTTGTAGATTGGAGTTATGAACAGCAGATGATTTCTCAAATGTATTTAAATATTTTAGAACTTATTTTTTAGTGCCTCTGGTTACTGGAGATATTTATCCATATTTTGTAGCAGATTAAGAACAGTTTTTATTATTTTTATTCCTGTTATGTCTGAACTATAGTTACATATCCTGAGAGAAATTTCAGAAGAGTCATATAAGGTCTATATTAGGCTTAGTATGTATTGTGTCTTGTAAAATATGTTTGATCTAATTAAATAGTGTACATATAATTTTGGTTAAATCAAGTTTACAATTAATATTTTCTCTGTTTAGAAACCAGTTTTCCAAAATCTACAATTAGTGTTAAAAAATCTCTTTTTTGAAAAATGAATAAAATAAAAATCTGATTTAAATACAAACATCTGTGTTTCTTTGTTAAAATCTCCGTGCTTGCTTATCAGGTTTTCACTTAACCATGAAGCCAATAGACCCCAACTCCTGGCTCTTGGAGAGAACCAGAACCAGTGAAGTAAGTGAGGTGGTTTTAGTGGTATTGTAATCATGGGCAAACTACTGGGTAGTATTTCCACATTCAGACATTTGGTAATATTTTAGAGATTTTAAGCATGACAACCATTTTTATCCATCCATTTTCTAACCACTTTATCCAACAGAGGGTTGCAGGGGAATCGGAGCCTATCCTGGTTAGCATCGGGTGCAAGGCAGGATACACTCGGATGGGACACCAGTCCATCACAGACCAGACAGACGCACTCGCACCAGGGCCATTTTTCCTAGTAGCCAATTAGCCTACCTTCATGTCTTTAGACTTTGAGAGTAAACTCAGCAAACATGGGGATAATATACAGTATAAATTCCACACAGACACCACCTCAGGTCCAGAATTAAACCCAGGGTCACCATACCACCCTACTATTTTTAATATAATTTAAAACGTATATTTTAAATTAGAACATCTTGTGAGCTTTCTCTCCAAATGCTTATTAATTTATTGCTTCAATATTGTCTTTCATTCCTATTCCAAGAAGTTAGGCTTCTAATTGGAAGGGAAATCCCTCTCATGTTCTCATAAATCATAGCATTCTTCAAGTTATCTTTTGATAAATTCATTACTTCTTAATATTTTAAGACCATTTCTACCTGCTAGTATACTTGAGTTAATTTTCAGTGGTAGCTAGGCAGTAAATCATTATTAGATTAAATTGTACAGTTAATGTTAATAAATTATTAGTATCCTGTTTTCCTGTTAACTCAAGCACTATTCTGTCTATTCTTCTTTACTAATTCACACCACAGCTGGAAAAGTGGGCAATGCGATTGCTTTCAAGCTACCATTAAAGAGATTATTAATGTATGAAATGATACGTTCAGTTTTGCACACTTTTTGTGACATAAAATTTCCAGTAAAGGTGTAATTTCATCAAATTCTGGAAGAAATAAACAAATGATTTAGATTTTCTAGGTCAATGTATGTACAGTAATGTCTCTCTCTCATCCTAGCGTTAATCCCGCATCAGCAGGGTCCACTTGTCAGCACACCTGTCTCCATTTGGTGGTTTGAACCAAATCTTTGAGCTGATGTTGCCATTATATGCGACCGAGAATACTCCAACTGGCGTGTCGCTCTGCCTGCCGTCGGAGTCGGGGAGGAGAACAAAGTAATGTAGCCAATTCATAGAGGGGGATTATTAGGAGACATAGGAAATTTGGCCAGGACACCAGGGTTACACCCCTACTCTTTTCAAGAAACACCCTGGGATTTTTAATGACCACAGAGAGTCAGGACCTCAGTTTTACATCTCATCTGAAAGAGGGTGCTTGTTTATAGTATAGTGTCCCTGTCACTATACTGGGGCATTAGGACCCACATGGACCGCTGGGTGAGCGCCCCCTGCTGGCCTCACTAACACCTCTTCCAGCAGCAACCTTAGTTTTTCCCAGTAGGTCTCCTATCCAGGTACTGACCAGGCTCACACCTGCTTAGCTTCAGTGGGTTTCCAATTGTAAGTTGCAGGGTGACATGGCTGCTGGCAATGTTTGTAATGTCTGATTAATTCAAATCTGCAGCAAGTTATTTCAAATGATTGGTTAATGTTTTCCGTCTTTTGATTGAACACTGACCAAAGTCATTATTATTTGACTCTGAAGAAGTCAAAGTATTGTGTAGTTTGTTATTGCACCTTGATTTTCTGTTTCCTTTGCCTGCACATATGGAAAACATACATGGATGTGCATGTGCCTCATTTTCATATGGTAAAGCAATGCACATATGCAGTATGTGTAAAGTTTGCATTCATACATCATTAAAATATAGTACAGGTCAACTAACATTGCTCCAGTCTCTTTACATTATGGTAAATTGTGGGTCATATTTTGGAAATTTGGGTTTTGTGTAGTATAATAAAATGTTTTCTGAAGCAGTACTCTAATGTTGGTGTTTGATGCTTGCGCACTCTACTTCTAAAGGCCATTGTAAGCAATTGAGAGTGGAATAGGAAAAGTAGGATTTGAAAAAAACTTTCACTCCTAAGAAGCTTATCTTGTCATAAAGGTGTCTAAAATAACTTCACATAATCCTGGTGCAAGTATTTTAAAAGTTCAATCAGCGTACTGTATAGTAATCACCTCCCTTTCCAGAGAATAGACAGGAATGCAACTTCAAATCCACAAACAGTATGTTTTATGTATTATATAGAAGGTAAGACTGCACATATGTTAACATACCAATCTCCACAAACTTTCAAAATCACATTAATCTTCTAAAACCTACATACTGTACCTTTGAGTACATTAGAAATCTAGAAACCCAGCCAAAGACAGCTGTTGTTATGAGAAGCAGAGAGGTCTCAGGTGTATGGTCTTCAACCATAGCAAATTATCAGACTGTCTTACCAATATACTGTAGGCTTCTGTCTCATATCTGGTCCTCGAAACAGACACACGCCTCCTATTTCACACTGCACAAGGCCTTAAACAATTCCTAACATCAAAAAACCTGGTTACAAAACGAATCGCCAAAAACATTAATGTAGAACAAATATTTAGAACCGATATTACCCATTGCATTTGCAAGTGCTGTTTCAATATTACAGCTCTTATTAATTGTTGTACTTTGACCAAGGATTTCACATTCTTGGGAGTCAGGTTCACCAACAGATGGCCATAAGCAATTAATACCAGTCTCTGTGCTTTTACTTGCTATCATTCAATATTTAACAGATTTTGAAATCAAGTAGGTCAGTATACATTATTAATATCAAATAACCTTGCACATTTACAATATATAGCCAAAGTGATTAAGCAGTCTATGAATCAATATAGAAAGCAAGTACTGTATATTCACACTATCCATTCATCCATTTTCAAAAAAGACACCTTCCTGGTATGGGCTATAGCAACCTGGAACCTTTCACAAAAACCTCTCTCAAGGCAGGACTACACCCTGCACAGGATACCAGTCCATCACAGGGTGCACACCACTGATGCTGTTATAAAGTGCTTTTGATGTTACCTTTATCATTTAAGTCCCGCATAGTGTTTGCTTGTATCACTTACACTTAAACTACAAATAAGGATGACTTTTGCTGTTGATACAAGGGTTTTGGTTGGGCTGGAGTGAGGATTAAGCTTTTAGATTCAGGCTTTATGATTAGGAAGGTTTGGGCGTTTATATGAAATCAAGATCTCATTTGGTGGATTTGTGCTATGAACTCACAGGCCAAATTTACATCTGTGTGTTCCACCTGCAAAGAAAATGATCTGCAACTCATCATTTTTTCCCTCCTGTGTATCACAACATGGTTCAGGAAGCATTTGCAGGAAACCCAGCTTTATTGTTTCTTAGGAATATTCCTGTGATAGATGTGTGATCAACAGTTTATACATGTGTGGTTTCTGAAAAAAAGAAAGCTCGGCTCTACTTACAGAATAAGGCTTTAGAACAAAAAGGTTCTCTGGAAATGAACTGATGTATTGTGCACCTGGGCTTTCTAGCACTTAAATGAATGCACTTTTTTTTTTGCTTTCATAGTGGACCTGTCTGACTGTCAGGATGCTGCTATAGGTATAGGCCATGTTACATGTTTGTTCCTGAATCATCATATTGGCCTTTTTCACAGTGGTAATTGTGTAGCAAAAACTTAAACATGTGGTTTTTGTATTGTATTATTTGGAAAACAGCTCCCATTCTTTTCCATTGTCCTCCTGTTTAGAATTATGTGTAGTAATTCTTCTGTTGGAATACAGCATCTGTTACAAAAACAGGGCACCTTACCATCGGAAAATATATGTAGGTCACTTTTCAACTGCTGGTTGTTTCTGGGTACATGGGTTCAACTATTGTTTGCCAGGAGAGGTAATTTTGGTTTCCTGACATTTTGCAAAAACCCAAAAAGTGGCAAAATGTATAAAACAAAAGAGCCAATATTATAGAAAACAAACCAAAAGAAAGCTGAACCAGAGAAAATAATCTGAATAAACTGAATCTGAATCTTATCCTTCGTACAATATATCAGACACTTTTAACAAGCTACCATTTGACTATACAATCCGTTTAGTGAACAATAATAATGTATATAACAGGAATAATTTCAACGCAATGTTGAACCAGAATGTTATAATTGTGTTTTAATACATTGAATAATAACAGTATTTACTGTATTACTGTATTCTTCTAACAGTATATCACGGTAGAAAAAAGAACTACTTTTTAATAGGCTAAAAGAATTAAACTTATTTAGTATTGAAGAGAGAAAAGCATAAGGGAACTTAATTTAAATTTTCAAAATCTTCAAGGGCACTGACAGAGTGAACCCAACAGCATTATCGTAATTAACTGCAACCAGAGGCCACTAGTGGAAATAGTGCATTTAAAACTGAGAACAGGAGGTATTATTTGTACAAAAGAATATGGGAGTAGGTGAAAAGCAGAAATAACTGTCTTCTTTCAAGAAATTGCTGATGAGATCCTCAGATTAATTAGCGAATAATTACCATACTGGTTAAAGGGTGGCTACTCCACTTCTTATTTCTCTTTTGTAGCCTTACTTGCATTCTCATACATTATAATACAACATTATAATACATTTTCTTTTAAAGTAATATAATTATAATTTACTGTCTCATATCATTATGTTTATTAATATTGTCAAAATTAATCCTGTACATTTACCATACATTTATGCAGCACTTTATTTCTGAAAGTATCTAAATATTAATCAGTAGTTGACTCCAACACACTCAAATAGTTTTTGGAGTAACTATTTTAAAAATTGTGATAGAAATAGTTGGGTTTGTAGTTCTTCCCACATATTACTACCATAACACCTTTCTAGGCATATATGGACATAAAC